CCCCGCCCCGGCGCCCTGAGCCCTGCTGGGCGGGTGTTAGAGGAACGGGGCACCGGCTCCTGTATTTATGCATGTTATATACCTACATAGACACCCACCTAGATTATAAATATACTTTTACATATTCTATTATAAATGTATATTATATATTCTGATAATTTATCTTTTTATATATTATATATATTCGGGGGGTATGCATATTTTTGGTATGCATGTCCTTCCAGCCCCGAAGTGGCAAATACCAGTGTGCGGCGGAGCGCCGAAGGAGGCAGAGCTGTAGGAACAAGACACTGCACAGCACATGCAGAATGCAACTGGCTGCATCGATCCAAGGCCCCGAGCGCCAGCATCGGTGGTCCCGTGTGAAAATTTTAGAGCTCCGAGCCCTGCACGTGCGGGGTCTAAACGCGTAACTGCTGGCAGGATCAGACCCTCGGGTGCTGCTACCATAATTCTCACTTTTAGCCTGTGGTTCTGGGAAAAACGTCCCGATTCAGCTCCTCTCATTAGTAAGATACACGACGTATTTGTGAATAAGCCTTCTAACTGTGCAGTTAGCGCTAAAAATCTATCCGTCACTGTAACTAGTGCCTTTGGTGTAGATGGAGATAGTGCAGCTGACAGGCTGCTCGCTCATGCAGACGCTGAAGTCCACGGAGAGGCGATGGGGTGCAGGGCAAGGCAGAAATCTGGCCAAACACGTGAAGGTTTTTCCTCCCCCTAGCCGTCTACCTTTGCCCCCACCGTCACGCTGTGTTCCCGTTGGAAGCAGTCAGACCTCCTCCACCACGATGCTCGGCATCAGGGTATTCCTACAAAAAATCCTGATTCTTCTGCACGTTACTACGTGTGCTGTCGTTGGCAAAACACTGATGATACTGTTCCCTAATGCCATGAAAAGATACATCCTAAAACAGGGCGAAAAGAGCAGAATGAATGAGAATCCAAAGTTCAGCTACGAAAACTGGGGTCCGACTTTTTTCAGCTTCAAGTATTTGCTCTTCGTGCTGAAGGTGAAGTGGAAGAGGCTGGAGGACGAAGCCTACGAGGGACATCCTGCTCCCAACACGCCGGTGGTGGCTTTCAACGGGGAAGTTTGTCACCTCCTTGATTTCATGCAAGGTCAGTAATTCAGCTGCGAGGACGGGTTTGGTTTGCCAAGATGATAAATGAGGAGAAGAGGCTGCTGAGGAATAGGGACAGGCAGCTGGCACGAGCGTGCACGACAAAGCAGACCAGACTGACAGCACTCATTTGATAGAAACGGTGCAGCACAATCATGCCAGCTGCCTGCCTCTTGATTTTCAAAAATAACCTGTTTATCATCCTGGCTGCAGTATCCCTTCACGCCAGGAAGCTTAAGAACCTCTTGCAAAAGCTGGCTTTGCCTGGAAATACCTCTTCACTGAAAGCCAAGATAATAATTTGTTTTAGGGAGAGAAGACACAGAATCGGAACCATGTGCAGTGATTCAGAAGTGTTGGCTGTCATTCCCCGTCCGTAAAGTCCCACACCAGCTCCCTTAGCCACCCTAAAGCCTAGAAAGCACACGGTGGTTTTTTCCAGATTCAAAAGTGGCTAAAAATACAGCAGCAGAAGTTGCTTTGTACTTTGTCTGCTGCCTGCCACGAAGATCTCTGTTGAATGTGGAATTAATCATTAAGCTGCAGTCTCTGTCCCCATGGGAGGGATTACATCCTTCTCTAACTCTGCTTTTCTACTTTTTATATATATATATATTTATGTAGAAAATGGGATGCAAATTTGGAAGAGATACACAATATCTACAGGAAGGTACCCCCTTTATTAGATTCTTTAGGATGTGAATCTATGCTAGCAGCGGTTTTTGAAGTTAAGCCCAGCCAGAAGGAAGATCTTGAACAAATTTCAGGTGATTTAGCATAACCAAGACTAAAAGAGGTGCTTAAAAATCCTGCGAGTTCTCTTAAATCGAAGCCTTGCAAACAGATGCCTACAACTGTGGGCACATACTGTGCTAATTTGTAAGCAACTGCACGGACACTTTTGCCAGCGGCTGGTGTTACATTAGCTTAATAAATAATAATACATAACCAGAGTTCTGTTTGGACAGGAAATTGCAGAAATACATTGAAAGCATGAAAGCCTGTGATGCATGACTGAAAAGTTCGCAGCTTCCACCCAGCTCGGCTAGAACTGACACCTCTGAAAAAAATCAAGACATGTCCAACGGGTTCATTAAACAGCATTAAGACATCTCTGAACCACCGTCCTTTGAAAAACCTTGCAGCTGATCATGTTTAGTATTTCTGAGGTTCCTTCGTACTAAGGACCTCGGGGAGGCTGTGATGTGCTACGCGCTGTGTTACCATTTCGGATCAGTTCCCTATCCCAAAATGGGATGGCAACTTGGGAATTGGCTCTCGTGATGAGGACACGAGAGAAGCTGTGTGACTGCACGGTGCCTCCTGCCTTGACTGGGCTTTACAAAGGAAAGCGTCCCCCTTGGATAAGCTCATTGCTGGATGCGGCACAGGTCAGAGCCAGGCTAGGGAAAAGAAAGCATCTTTATGCCTGTTTCGCGTAGATGCAGATGTTCTGCTGCCGATTTTGAAGTCCTAAGACGAAAGTTACGGGATAAGTGACTTACCTGCTGTTGCCAGGAAACTCTGTGGCAGAGGCTCAAATCAGTGTACGTATTTAATTCTGTCCTTCCTCCCTCCACTGATTTAACTACAAACTGTCCCCTTTTTTCCAGATAACCGACCTTTAATCCTGAATTTTGGAAGTTGCACCTGACCTTCATTTATGTTAAAATTTGATGAGTTCAACAAGCTCATCAAAGATTTCAGCTCAATAGCAGATTTCCTTATCATCTACATCGAAGAAGCTCACGCAGTAGGTACAGTACAAACATCACAGTAATGCCTACCAAAACTTCAGAGGCGTTATCATTCCCTTTAGGAAGAAAAGTTTGTTAGAAAAGGAGGGAACTGCAAACGGGAAAGAAATCTTCCTCAAACCAAAAGTGGCAACGCCAAATCTAGGCACTTGTTTGTGTCCCTAATTCTCCAAAGATTTTACTCACACATCTGACTTTACACCGAGGTACTTCTGCTGAAGACACTCATCTCTGTGAAGGTGAAGCACATAGTTGTATCTTTACAAGAGTTCCTCTCAGTGTTAGTACAGCTCCTTTTAGCAGGGAAAAAATGAAGCGTTTCATAGAGCAAAGGTTAAGTGTACAATGCCAGCATGTTACGCGTTTTAAACAAAGACAATTCATTTTTAACATGTCTCAAGAACAGGATGCAGACTCCAATTTGAAAAATTTAGCAAACAAACTATACACGGTCTTTTATCTACACTGGACTCTAAGTAACACATCGGCACTGATTTTATCCCAGGGTTGAGGTGGTTTTCTAAAACATAACATTTACAGTTTTCAAGTCTTCTAACAATACGTCACTTTCAGTAGTTGAGAAACAATAACTAAATCAGTCATCAAAACCTTTTACTAGTTTCTACTTTACTAGGAAGAGTTGTGTGCAAATGTGTGTTTGCATATTTCTGAAAAAGGAAGGTGTGCCCTGGCTCAAATGTTTCACTTCCCACAGATCTGAAATTTTGTTTTATAGGCTTAATGAGTAGAATGAAGCAGAATGAACAGTACTATTGTCGCAACTGTGCTAAATGAAGAGGCATCAGCTGATAGCACTACCTACCATTTTAAAATCCCTGCTGTGCCAATAATTTTGACAAACCTTACTCAAATAGGATCTACGTCCGCCTCCTGGTATCTTTCTAGGGTTGATTTATGTGGGAAAATTTCAGCTGAAATACATAAAATATTTCCGAATCCAAGGCAAGGGGAAAAGAGAGTTTGCTGAAATCGAAGGAAAAAAAAAATAGATCTTGGGACCATTTATTTGAAAAGCTGTAGTGCTCTCATACTGGGGGGGGGGGCTTTCATTTCATGGCAAGTTTTGGTGTTAGGAGTAAATTGCAGTATTCTTTTAACACAGTTTTGGGATATGACACACAGTACATCTCCACCCTTAACACCTATTTAAAATGTTCCTTGCTAAATCCATTTCCCATTTGTTTTAGATGGATGGGCTTTTAAAAACAATATTGTTATTAAAAATCACAGAAGCCTTGAAGATCGAAAAATTGCAGCACAATTTCTTCAGAAAAATAATCCTTTATGTCCAGTGGTTTTAGACACTATGGAAAACCTGAGCAGTTCAAAATACGCTGCCTTGCCAGAACGACTGTATCTACTTCAAGGAGGGAAGGTCATCTACAAGGTAAAAAATATCAACAATGAGCACAATATATTGAGATTTTTAAATTTCAAAATAATTTGAGAACGCTTTACATTTAACAGTCAGTATTTCATTCTGTCTGAGAACTAAAAATTTCACAATTCACTGTAACTGTGGAGAGAAAAGGACTTGCAGCAAAACCAGTCTGGGCCTTTCTAATGTACATATTTGACGTACATCTCAGTCTTGCTCAAATATTTATCTTCTGGCTCATTAGGAAACCTAGGTATACCTAAGCTGTGGGATCCAGGAACGCTTTCCAGCTCCAGGATCCAGGCGCTGGCCCCGTTCCCAGTTACACAGCAGGGTGTAACCTGTGCATACACCATCTCCCACGTATTGGCTGTCATGCAAAGGAAGCCCAAGCACACCTGCCCACAGTTCTGGTGCCAGCTGCTGCGCTCTAAAGGACTTCTACTTTGTCCACTTGAGCATCACTGTATAATTTTATTGCCTTTGCAGGGAGGAGTGGGGCCTTGGAATTATCACCCCCAGGAAATACGCGCCATCCTGGAAAAACTGAAATAGAAAAAGAAGAGAGGAGGACTTCGGAGTAAAGACTATCTGGATTAAAAAGCTCAATAAGTTTTCATAGACATAATAGTAAGAAGAATTTAAAAATAGCAATAGAGACAACAAGAAAAAGAATAACGTATGTGTATCTAAAGAGCATCTGTAATGTGGCTCATTACGTGTTTGTATGGAGGTTCTCAAGTCTCATCACTACAACCCCAGCTACCGCACTGCAGTATCTTACTACGCTTACACCACATGCAGTAGTGAATACTAGTTGGGTCCGTTGAGCTGTCAGGACTGGATGCCAGCATTTACATTTGTAAGAAATATCGTGCAGGATGAACTTCAGGGGTGGTGACATTTGCAAAAGTCGACTGGCATGCAAACCAACCGATTTCACATTATTAAGATTCTCTTTCTCTTGTATACATACGATTTTCCTAAATGTTCACTTTCACTGACTTCAGAAGGCTGCTGAATAAGACAATCTCTATCAACATTTGTTTCTATTAATATTTGTAATGACAGTCATAGCATAAAGCACAGATGGCTGTGACCTGATTCCAGAAAATGTTTATAGAAACAAGGGATTGATCTGCAATTATTAAAAATCTATCAGAGCACTTCATATGGCTTCAGATTATTTTCCTCCCCGCCCTGCCCCTCTCCCCGCCCCGGCTTATTTCTGAGCATTAGCAGACATTTATATTCATCCTATTAATCTTGAACAGTTTGAGCTGATGAGAAAATCGCCAATTTAAGAACTTTTAAAGGACTTGTTTGACAGTAGGAATAATACCTCCCATTTAAGTATTTCACACTTTTTTTTCCTATTTAACTCAGAGTGCATGGGAAACATTTTACAGGAAATCTAGTTTTAATTCATGTATTAAGAAAGCCTGATATAAACATACTAATTTAAATGGACTCAGTTATGTTCAAGCGTTCTAGGGTAACAGTCTAGGCTATAAAACTAGAAAGCTGTTAACTACAATATTGAATACTGCATTACATACATTAAACCGGCGGGGAATACATACTACATCCATACCTTCAAAAAACACTTTAATACAAGGTTTTAATAATAAATATTCTCCGTGCTACAGATATCAAACTATAACTTCTTTATTAAAAAAAATGAGGTACAAATTTAAGCTGGACTTAAGTGTTTTCTGCTGTGCCCTCTGCCATCACCCGGTGCACTGATACAAAATGATCAAAGGCAGACTTGATGATAAAACGCAGGTAAGTGGCTTGGAAATCAGGAAGCTGTAGAAGGAAAAAAAATGTTATTGTATTCTCTGTAGTAACATAACTATCAAACAACATTTGCAGAAGTTTGTTAGAAAGATCTAGATATTTCAGTGTCTATTTTTGAATTACACAGAAATCAAGCTCTTTGAATACATCTAGCCAGCTTCAGAGCTTCTTTAGATGACAGCAATTCAAAGAAGTCCCATCCCTCCCAAATACGTTGCCTTAAAGGCAACAATTGAAGGAGGAAAGATTGCCACGCTTCTGGAAAGAGCTCTTTCATATAGTTAGGAGCAGTAGGCAGATGCAATTTCATACCATAATCTACAAAGGAGCAGCCGGGAAGTGCAATTTCATACCATGATCTACAAATTCCTATATCTAACATCAATTTAACAGTAACTGTAAATGAAGACATGTTTTGTTTTTTCATGGTTTCTCCCCGGTAGTCTAGACATCCCATGTCATGAACCACTACTGATGTACACTGTAAATACTCACGGGAAATTCTTCCATTTGAAGCTGTCCTTCTGTGTGTTGCAAATCTAGAAAATACATTTTAAAGCAAATAATGGATAATAACGTGCAACGCTGTGAAAAGTTTTCACTGGACTTCAGAGTTCAAGGGAGTTTAAGGACCATGAACTTACACTGCATATAGAAATTGTTCTTTTTTTACAAGGTGATTTAAGAGAACAAATACTTTTTGCAATATCCCAGTGTATATATATACCACTCATTACACTGTTTTATGAAATGTCACCCAAGAGGCTTTAAAAAGAACAAAACCAAACCAACCAACCAATGCAGGAAATGGCACTCTATTATACTATGTAAGTCTGGTTTTAATTTTTGGAACATAAAAGTGAGTGCACAAGTAGTGCTTTTAGCCCTTATACAGCATTTTACATCCCCAAACTGCTACACAGACCATCAGTGTTCATAAACTTCATTTAAATGTGTCTATTACATTAACGTCTAATAAAATAATCATCAAGCCACACTTGACTACTCAACAAATAGACATGGGGTTAAAGTGACTCACTGAAAAAAATAGTGTATCAATAATGATAAAAAGGATGGTTTTATCTGTATGGCTAAACAGAACCTAACTAAAATCTAAACTCAATTTTATAAGCACAATTTTACAGACGATGTATACTTAGTCAAAGGCATAAAATTAAGATTTAATAAAGAGTATTGCTTCCCGGTGTATTTGTTTATCATTATTCATCTAAAAATGCACTTTTCAAGTTGGGAAGATGATGCTATATAGCACCAGGCTACATGAACGGAAACCTGGCTATTTTTCCAAAATGTTCATGCTTTCACTCGATGTTCAAAGAAACCAACAGGGAACCCAAAAAATTTGATATTATGTACGCAAAAAGTGATAGTTCCCTCCAGAAGAGCATCACTGAAATTATTCAGGCAGCTAAGGTGAAAATGTAATTAAGTTACTGTGAGAACTACTCTGTGGTATAACATCATAAGCAATTTTTGCAGGAAAATGGGGATCCCTGTGAAACACGCAATTAAAATACTAACCAAGACTAACTAAAATTAACAAAAGTAGTCTCGGTCACAAAGCTTTACCAAAGGCTGACAATGTGACCAGTCTTGTTCTCAGACACCTGCCAGGGCACGCATCTTAGTGTTAACCTCCCTTGTTTTGCTAGAGAAAAAAAAAAACATTTTCAAGCTTCATTAGCAAGTTTTATTTTTGATGAATTATCTTAGTAGTAACAATAAAAGTCAATCAGAATCCTTCCTAGTTTGCCCAACACAAGCTTTGTTATTCTGAAACCTAGAAATAGTAAATGAATCAGCAAATACGGAGATCAACATCATTCCCACAAAATCCCCGCTGCTTCAGATTCAGAATCTTACCTTTTTCAATGCACTGTTCAAAACCTACTGGGTCTTTAGATATGCTTCTTTCAATCCTTAAGGTCCGCACTAAAATATATATACATTTAAAATATCAATACAAATTCTGATTCTTTATTGATACTGCATCACTTTTCATCTACAAAGCACTTTAAAAGTATTAACTAATCCATTCTTCTTCTAACTTATGGGGTAGGACTATAATAGAACCGCCATCCTCATGTTCCAGGTTGGACAAACAATGGCAAGTTTTCATGTCTTTTGTGTAGCCTCTGCTAATGGTCAAGCTCCTGTCTCCATGCTCTGACCTTTTAACAGTCCTTCCTGGTTTAGAACTCACATTTTCCTTCACATTATTTAAAAAAGACTGAGAGAGTTCTGTCCTACGAAATGATACAAATCAATATTCAAAATAAGTCATTAAAAGAGGAAGTACTGTAGTCCTGTCCATTAAATTAGAACAGCCATCACTGTGCAACGGAACAGTTAATTACAAGCTCAATACAAGGTGTTATAAGAACAAAACAAGTGCAGGTGGGGTATATTTTCCATCTTTTTCCCATTTATTTATGAAAAACCTTGGATGTGGAGGACGATTGTTTTGGTAAGCTAAATGAAGCTTTATGATTTAAAGTAAGCTTTATGAATCTGTTAGAAGTGACTACTTACAGAATGTGACACTGCTGTGAGAATTTACATACAGGTACGCACACACACATTTTAACATAGTATGCATTACATACTGCAGTACATGAAGTCTTACCCAAGTAACAGTGGATTGCGACTTTGCTGATTTTTACACATTTAGGAAAACCAATAATGAATTCCTGGGGGAACATGCCTGTCGTCGTCCAAAACGTTTCTGAACTTCTGTGGAGAAAAAAGGACAAAACCCCCGCCTGCGGCTTTCCATCTATAACCGTCTTGAAATTTATCACCAAAAAAAAAGCAGCAGCTGCAAAGCCATTTGTATTTGGGGTATTTTAAGCAAACCCCTGTACGACAATGGGGAAGCTCTCTGTAAGTATTAATACTTTAACGTTCAGGCTCTGTACCCGAGCAGTACCACGCAAGAACTCACGAATGGCGGGGGTCCCGGAAAAAGTTAAATTATGTGCCAACGTGAGCGGGTAAGCAAAACACAGAGCCTGCCGGCGACGGGCTGCGGTAACGGCAG